GGCGGCGCTCCCGGGCGGCGCTGGGCGACGGGCGCCAAGGAGCTCCGCTGCCGTGGGCAGCGCCGTGCCGGGACCAGCTCCGCTCCCCGAGGCGCTGCGGGAAGCCCCTTCCCAAGGCCGAGGCCACTCGGCCCGGCCAGACAGCGCCGAGATTCCCAAAACCCAGACCCTTGCGGAGTGGCCTTTGCGGGGCCCAGCTCTTCCTAACAGCGCTGGTAACACGGTGTCCCATGGAAGTCCTGCCCCAGCTCCACACAGACATATTTCCGTAGTATTTAGGTCAGGTTTTAAGTTTGCACCCTTGGCAGAGCGCACTGGAGGAGCCAAGACCCTGATCCCATCTTGCCGGATAAAGCAGAGATCCCCTCAGCCTGCACTTTCTCCAGGTTGCACTAACAGCTCGCCCTGGAAAACATTTTAAATCAAAAAAGAAAAAAAAAAAAGAAACAAACGACAAGAACAAAAATTAAGTATACAGAAACTGTTGCTACTCGAACCACAGCTGGGGAAAGGCGCTGTGTAATTTGGGCCAGTGCTACTGACCTGACTCCTGAAAAACCCATCAGCTAGGCGCGACTGGAGAGCTCCTGGCTACTACACAGCGTCCCGCATCCTAGGAGAGTGCTTCTCTGCTGAGCCTGCTGCAAAGGATACTGATAAATCCCTCTGGACTCGCAGAGCATCCCACATAGGGCTTCACTATATAAAGGCTCAAGTGCAGGGCAAGGGCAACTACTGAAATATCCGCTTTTGCCTGTGGTCGTGGGCAGAGGCGTCCTGACCCTCTTCTGGACTTAAGGGAGGATTTTCTCCACCAGGGCTGCACCACAGCAACCGGGCTGAAGAGAATTTCCAGCAGCGGCTAGCTCTGACTCGGGCTTGCTTATTATAAATCAAATGGAGAGACTCTAAGCAGATTAAGAGAGGATCCTGCCTGTGCTCTCACCTCTGGGAGCAACCTCAGGAGGGAGCTGAGCCCGCAGCCGGACAACAGGAGGCGCTGAGGCTTTGCACAACCCCCGGCTCCCCTCCCCTCCCGGGCCTCGGGCATCCCAGCCGGGGCGGCCCGGGGGCGGCCGGCCGGAGAGCGGCTTTGCCGGCTCCACGTTTGCTCCGCCCGGTGAAACGCCTCCGTGGTTTGTAGCAGCACCCGATGAGCGTGGCCGGCTTTGTGCCTGCCCTTTTTTCCAGGTACGGAGTGACCCAGCGTGGGCTGCCCGGCGTCCTGTCGGGTGTTGCTCCCGCGGGGTTGGGCTCTGGAAAGCGAGGCAGCACCGCCCCGAGGTCACCCAGCGGGGGGGTACCGCCAGCGGGGTCGCTGGGGCAGCTGCAGTCCTGCCAGCATCCCTCCATGCGGCTGTGCTCTAGGGGGGAACCGCACTCCACAGACCTCAAATATTGAAATGACCAAACCACCACCGAAGGTTCTCTGTTTCCAGACATATACAGTGCTTCCATTAGGAAAAGAGGGAGGGTGCATACATGAGGACCGCAATTTTAATATTTCTTAGATATTGCACTGGGGTTTGTCCCAGTTTCCATGGGTGTAGTTTGACCATTTGAGAAACCAGGGGTCTAGACAGTGCTTTTACATATTTTATTTCCTTCAAGACATATTTTCATATGTTGTTCTTCTCTGCTGATTCCAGAGTTTTGTCTGTTTCGAAGATTTGACTCAATTCTGCTGCCAGAATTAAAAATTTTAAAAAAATAAATAAATAAAAAAGAGAGAGAGAAGAACAAAGAAAGGGGTAATAGAAAATGCATTTAGAGAACAAGTTAAAACATATTTGTAGAGGCAGAGAGATGCTACATCTCGTCATTTGAATCCTATGTCTCTATAAGAAACTTTAAAATCCTGTTTGTAAGGGTGACATTTCCACAGATCACTCGAGAACAAGTTACTGTGGAAGCAGCTGCTGAACGATAAACACATCAAGCTGAAATTAAGACTCATATGTGTATTACAGTTTGTGTGGTATAATGTGCAAGCCTTTTTCAAAATCCCAAGAAGCTTTTTTTCTCCTTCAAAATCCCACTGTTCGAACAGTTGTTTGGGTTTGGAAGGGGGAAGGGCTGTTAGTTGCTGGTTGGTGATGTAGATTTTTTTTGGTTTTGACTTTTTGGTTTTTGTTTTCGACTTTTTGGTTTTTGTTTTCTGCTATGAGGTGATAAAAGTTCTAATAGCTATATGGGAACGAACTCACAAGGGATAGGATAAAGAAACCCAAGAAAAGTCCGTGGTGTTGACATAGGCTCGAAGAGCCGGACAGGGCAGAAAATGTTTGATCCCTCTGCAAAGACTGAGAGATTCTCTCCATAATAATAAAAAGCTTTGTCCAATGTCAGTTTGTTTTATCGGTGTTTTTTACCTTTTACCAACCTGTGTAGAAGCCTCCTCCCCTGTTCGTTGTGAGAAATCAGGTCAATAAGCAAGAAGTTGGAAATGAGATACCCACTACCTATTATTGCTGCTCCTGGGCGTCTGGCAGGAGATTCTTTCTCTGGGAAGAGAAAGCTTCCAAATGAGCCTTCTGGGCTGAAGGCTTTCCACAGTAAAGATATAAAATGGTTCTAGTGACTCACCTGATGTTTGCCAAGTGGAGGTCAATATCAGTGGATCCGCATTCAGGCCTCTGTCCGTATTTATTGGGAACCTGTAGTATTATGTCTCAGCACGGTGACTCACATGGTTTCTGAACATAAGGCACCCGATATAAAAACAATATCATTATCACCATCTACACAGGACATCACCCCGTTTGAAGGGCTAGTTTAGCCCGGAGGAAGAAGCGGGTGGGGTGGGGGGAGAGCTGTGAGGGCTTTGGGGAGCTGGGAGCCGAGCCCCCTGCTCGCAGCCCGGAGCGCCTAATCCTATCCCCTGCCCCGAGAGCGATGGGAAGGCGGAGTGCCGCGGCAGGGCCTGGAGGTACCTGCGAGGTAACCAACTGTGAAGTGAGGAGCGGGAGAGTGGGGGAACCTGTGGACTTCAGGACTCGGGACTTTGAAGCACGTCCCGGCCATCAAGTTAAAGGAGCATCTACCGGCCTTTAGTAAATATTGCCTCTAATCTCAGGGCTTTAAGGCTGGATGGCCTTTTGCGTTCTCTTCAAATAGAGGGGGTTGCCCTTCCTTCATGTACCTCATTTCATTTCCCCCTATCCTTCCTAGCATTTGTCCTGTCCACCTGAAAGGGTGGTCGTGCCCGTCCCCCGTCCCATCCCGTCC